GGTCCGGATAAGTGAAAAGTCCGGATAATTGAAATGACCTTTAAAGCCTTCATATACTTACTCCAAAGAGAAGCTAGAGCCTTAATCAGCCATAAGGAGGCTAAATCCAAGCCTTGTTACTAGTAGGAAGCCATTAATCAGCAGCATGCCACTGCTAAACCAGCCACCATATACTCTAATTAATTGAATTTAAAGCACCGCGTGGTCATTTCCGGTTATGATTTAAGAGTCTGGATAATCGAGGATCCGGATAATCGAGGTTATACTGTAATGATATTGGTTTAGTGTTCAAATGTAGTTGTAACACATGTTATGCTTTATACATGTAAGTTGTCTAATATCATCAGTGAAGTAGTGATATGTCTCTTAATCTTAATGTACATGTAAAACCCCCAGTCTCCAGATATTATTATTGCGTATTATCATCAGCATTGTCAGTTTATTAGCCCACTTTAATTTGATCTGTTTCACAGGCGGAGATGGCAGGTAGACTCATTAAAATTTTTTATCATTGAAATTTTTACTTGCCGATGCAGGCGGGAAAGGTGAATCTACATGTATGAATGTAATTTGAGTTGACTTTACATGTGCTTAACTGTACATATCCTTCTTTTACCTTCCATGTGTATGCTATGTACTAAAATTAGTGAATAATGCAACAAGTCATGCTATTAGGCTTGCCTAAGGTCTGATGTAATAACATCACAATGTGGCTCACACAAATTCCATGCAGTCACTTTATCTCTATGTAATTTTGAATGAGTGAAGGATGAAAATCTACATGTACTAATGTCTAAGACTGCTAATTTATACATACCTATGCCGCAATTCATTATGATTACTCAACCCTGACCCTGGCCTTTTACTTGTATAAGAACCTGTGCCGTTTCAATACATTGTTTTACTGATTGTTTTAATAGTAACCGATATGACTAACAATTCCCCTTAGTGAAACTTGTAGAATCCATTATTTTATAATTTGGTAGAATTTATCACATCGTGCTTGAAATAAATTTTGCTGTTCATTGACACTACTATTTAACTGCACTTCTTTTATGAAACAGTTACATGCAATTCACCACAACACTTCTCATTTTACTTAACACTTTTGCCTCCTCTCTCTCTCTCTCATTACAGATGCAATGATAGCCATACATTGAAGGTGTGGTTGATTTACACTATTAAGGATTTGACTGATCTGTTTGAAGAGAAGACCAGGTTCTAGGTTTATCTAGTCCTCTCTGATTGACTTCAAAGTCATTTGCTGACTTTTCATTAGCTCTTGTAGACTCGTGGCAGGTAATCATGATATTTATTATTATTTGATGTAGCTACATGTACATGTATATTGTACAATGTAGATAGTTTGGAGTGGTTAATTTGGGCAAATTGTATTTTATAGATTAAGGTTTTAGAATTAAAAATTTTTATGAAGGCTGTTTGATGTTTTACCATGCCCACATCTCAAGTAAAAATTTTGGCTTATGAGAGTAGTTAGTTGAAATTTTACTTGCCTAAATTATCTACTTGGTGGTATCTATGTACATGTACATGCAGGATGAGTAGTTCTTCATTTTTATGTTTGTAATTTTACTATATGTACTTTGCATGTACATTGATGTGCACATGTACGTACATACGTGCACGTACATGTACACAGTTCTTCATTTTCTGTTTTTACATGCATATTAGTTGTAATCTAATTATTAATTAATCTTCATTTTTAATTGTGACCATAATTGACAAAAGCAGTTTTTTAAATTCATCATTATAATGAAAAATATTGTTTGCAAAAGTTTCAGAGTAACTTTTCCCATCCTGTGGAATATTTTTATGATAATGGAGCTTATGAAGTTGGATTTTTGTGGCTACAAAGACAAATTTTACCATTGCCATAATGTACCTTTTGTCAATTGTGGTCACAATTGATGCAACTGTATAACATACTGTGTGTACATGTACATGTAGATATATGATATGAAGCATTTGATAATTCATCCTTATGAGCTAGGAGTAACTGAATGGAATGATCATTCCTCTGATTCAAAATGGTGCTACAATGGGCATTCAATATAATGGGTTATTAAACGAGCACCTCAGTAAGCTAATAATAATAATAATAATCATAATAATAATAATAATAATCAATAATAATAATAATAATAATAATTGTTTGTTTTTTTGCTTTTTCTCTAATTCTGTAAGGGCTGCTCCCTCTACATGTACCTTTCTATTCTACTGTAAACCCTTTGTCTCTCTTGGTTGATAATAATAATAATAATAATAATAAATAATTTATGTTATTTGTTTTCTCTAGTATTCTTCCTGGAATGATTGTTGATAGAGATGATGGTTAGTTATTAATAATAGTCAATTAATTAATTGATTAAAATTAATATTTGCTAGTATATCAACATCAGGCTTTATACTATTGACTACGTTTGTCACCAAATGACTTCGTCCCCTCATTTCCTTCCTCTTCCTTCCCTCTATCTCCTCTCTCTTATGCTATTCTATTGACTCACAGATGGGGCATTGTTGGAGATCAATATGAGATAAAAGGGGGATCAAAAGAAAATTCAATCTCGAAAATAAAGAAGCCGTAGAAGTTGTTGTAATACAAGTAAGTATTAATGCATTTTAAAGCCACTTATTTTACATTATTGATGTGGTGTTTCCTCATTCTTTTGCTTCGCTAGCAATTAGCATTGGCATGGACTATGTTCTTAAGTACGTTGTCTGCAGACAATAGGTCAAGCACTTGGTGCTTGTACTTAAGCACAAATAAGCAAAGCTTTCAAAGTAGTTACATTTATAATCTAATTTTAAAAGTGCTTTTAAGCTCAGCAAAAAGTGCATGTGAATGGTGTACATGTGCATGTAGTGGTTACACAGTCCAGTATAATTGTAGTAACAGTAATACACCAGTTTAGTAGCACATTGCATGACAGTGTGAGTATGTGTTAGAGGTAATAGCATCACATGTACAATGTACAATGAACAACTATAATTGTAATTTTACTTTATTGTTACATTTAGTGAATATCTAGTACTTATTAATGTACTCATTTATTAAATAGAACATGTAGCTTTTGCAATCATAAATATGTAATAGAGTCATGCATTAAATTTATCCTCACACAAGTGAAGCACAAGAAATTGTTTAAGAATAAATCATTTATCTTTGTTATATTAAAGAGTTACAACCACTTTATTTCCTTGACTGATATCATTTAATTATTTATCATATTGTTAAATTAGCTAGCTGTTCAAATTAGAAAGCAAATAACTGTCAACAAGTGTTAACTTGATTTCCTGATTATAACTTCATTTTAATAAAACTAAAAACATAAAATTGTGCTATTATCCACATTCATTTTCCTGCTAAATCAACAAGTTTTGCACAATAGCTGCGCAACAGGTGGTACTTTCAAATTTCCAGTTGCTACATTGTTGAATTTCAACTTTCAAAAACAAAAAAGTTTAGGTTGCAGTGCACAGTATGCCATGTCCAGAATTATAAGTGTTTTAGCTGGAGTTTACCAAGTTCTTTTGAAATTCTTCTTTAAAAAGAAAAATTAATGTATAGATTAGCTTCACAATGCCACAAAAAATAGAGTGGCAGAGTATTGGAACCACTGCTTTAGTTAGAGACAACTATCCACTGATTCCATTTTATTGAGAGCAACATTCAGTACAGTGTTGCCCTCTTGTTACAACTGTTGAGCACACACTCCACCAGAATTACTAGCCATCCTTTTCTTAGGACATCTGAATCTACATGTATTCCATTAGTTTGCTGTTGCATGTTAATAGATTGTGAATAAATAGTTAAAGTATCGGACAATAAACAATTTTAATTAGATTAGACAACCTTGTAATTCATTGTATAAAATTAATGATTACATTACATATTTCTAAAACACAAAACAACTATGTAGCAAAATTCAAACATACAGCTCACTTTTGCATGTCATGATCATCAATGTTTATGTAATGTTTATCTGGTTGTGTCAAGCGCTGCTGCCAGTTGTGACCTTCAATTATATATGACTCCACTGAATCAGTTCAGGCCCAGTCACGTGTCACAACATGGGAAAGGACAGTATACTCTCACCTTGAAAACTAATTAATAAATAATGACTTCTTGTTTTGAAAATACTGCTTGTTGTTTATATACCAATAGTAAGATTCTTGATTTATTACTATGCGAAGCAGGAATATCCTTGACCTTTCCCAGTATTTCATTCATACTTGTACAAATAATTTTTATTTCCAAGGAACCTTTAATCGTGATTAACATGAAGGAGACATTGGAGTGCTACATAACTGGTCAGAAGGAGAGCAAATAAAGATGCTTTCTTGGCGATACAAAATTAAAGATAAATGGTCACGGTATATACCTATGTACAGCCAGTCTACTTAGGGAAGATATTTTAGACGTGAATGAAACATTACTGTTTTATGGGAAGCAAGTAGAGGAGGAAAGTGAAGAGGCCATATGCAGCAATCATTGTTGAGAACAAATTTGCACAATCAAATGATGTCTTACTCAGTGTTGGCTTCAATACAGTCTTTGTACAACAGAAGTAACGATTATGTTACATTCAACCACTCGACAATGTTTTCACCTTTGAGTGAGATGTTGAATTTCAAATTTTAAAATTTTGATCATCAAAGCCTCTCTTTCCAATTTTTGTTACATTTGTGATGCAGCTATACAGTTCTGACGGAAGTACTACAACACATGTGGACTAGTTTCTTTTCCTTTACAAGTTCCTTTAAAATTGTATTTGCCTTCTAAAATCTTGCCTCCTGTCTTCTCATTATGTAGTCTGGTCACGCCCCTTCTGCAGCGAGGGAAGGGTCTGGTGACACACCTACAGAAAAGCTGGCCTTGAGCAGCACTTTGAGCGCTCCAATCAAATTGCTGCATGCACATTTTAGCTAATCAGTCACATGACGATAGTGTGACAGTGGCGTGTACCCATACTAGAAAGATGGCTGCTGTTTCTAGGAGAGTCATTGATGATGCTATTAAAGCCAGAACTTTATCTTTAGGATACCAGAAGCTGAAGAAAGATCAAGCACGAGTTATAAGATCTTTTGTTGAGGGAAATGACATTTTTGCCTGTTTACCAACTGGTTTTGGCAAGTCACTTTGTTACTTCAGCCTCCCTGTCATCTTCGACTTGCTACATGAACGTAGTTCACCTACATCTGCTATAATAGTTATCAGCCCACTACAAGCATTGATGATGGACCAAGTGGTTTCTCTAAAGAATAAAGGAATCAAGGCAGTTACAGTGATTGATCTTGGTGACGATGATGATGAAAGGAATCTATTGTAATGGGCAATGTACAAGTTATATTTACTACACCAAAAGTTTTACTTACAGACAAGAACTGGGTGGACGTATTCCAAAGTCCCTCACTCTGTGAAAGATTGGCCACTGTAGTTACTGATGAGGCTCATTTAGTTAAAAAATGGTAAATATGTAAAGTGTTATTTCAGCAATATTTTAAAAAATTTTTAAACGGGTAATAATTTCAGAAAGGAATTCAGAAAGCTGGGTGACCTTCGTGGATTTTTTCCTACTGAATTAAGATTCATGGCTCTTATAGCTACAGCATCTGCTTTTACTAGAAAGGATGTCATAAAATTATTGGACATGCATAAACACGTTCTCATTTTAAAATAACATTGTGTACGATGTTAGGGAAAAGTCAGAATCTGTTGAAGAAGAAAGTAAATCACAATATTTGTTAGATAAAGTTATTCAATTCCTTACTGAAATTGTGAAGACAATCATCTGCAGGACTTACAACGATTGTAGTAGAATATATCAACTCTTCAAGTTTAACCTAAGAAGGAATTTACAGATCTTGTTGGATATCCAGACGTGTCACAATTTTGACTTGTGGACATGTTCCATGCCACCAACTCAGTCAAAGTAAAGAATTCTATTCTCAAGTCTTTTTCATGCAGTGGTGGGAGATATTACGAATACTAATTGCCACTATTGCCTTTGGTATTGGAATTGACTGTCCCGATATACGACGTTTTATTCATTGGGGACCACCATCAGACAGTGAAAGTTACATCCATGAAACTGAAAGAACCGGTCGCGATAGTCGTACAGCAAATGCCATTTTGTATTATTCTCCCCGAGACTTGAGTCATTTGTACATGGACAGTAACATGCCTGATTATTGTACGAATACATCAACATGTCGCAGACAGGTCTTATTTGAAGGATATGACTACAATGCCATTAATAAACCAGTTGACTGCAAGTGCTGCAATTTATGTGCTTTGATATGCAATTGAATTGATTGTACATTTTGATTTATTAAAATTAATTTCTTTTAGATTAAAACATTTAAAAGAAGTACATGCATACCATACATGTATATAATACATTTAAATGTAAGTGAATGACGGTCATTGCCAATGAGCTAGTTTCTTCAAATTCTTCTTTAACCATTCTACAAGTACTTCTTTATCAACAGTGGACATCGCATTTCCTTGAAAATTTGGAAACTGAGAATGTTTCCTTCCTATGGTCTCTGTAAATACCTGGGTTACATTTAGTTCCCCAACCAACAACCACAGATTTTTACTCTTTGAGCGAGATGTGTGATGACATGAAACCATGGGAACATTGGTGCATTTATCATAGTTGTCTGTAATATCCATTAGTCTACGCAAACTTTTTCCAATTCTAATCACTGATGTCTCATTAACATTTGATAAGAGATGTCGCATGCCTTCCTTCAATTCCTGATTGAGGTGTTCCATATGGAGATCCATGGGAATGTTCATACCCGGTCTTCCATGAACATTAATAGTTCGGTTATAGATAGCTGTTGTCTCATCCTCTCAGTGAAAATAAAATTCTCCTGCAAAAGCAAAGTAGATGCTTGTACTGCGTACTTGTTCTTCCTTGTCACTTTAAATATCAGCATAATGTACCTCCAACACCTTAATATTCTAAGCCTCTCAAATGCTGTCACAAAATTCCATATATAACAATCCCAGCATAAATCTCCTTCGCATATGCCATGACATGACCTTCTTTCTTCCTTGTTTTTGACTTCTTTGCAGTGGCATTAGACGCCAAATTTACTTGGAACAAAAAAGTATTAGAGTGAATGATTCATGAAATCGCTTCTGTGAATATTACATTTCTTCTTGCGATAGGTATGTCTATGAAATTTTCCTTGCTGAAAATGCAATTAGTTGGAGCATCATTTATAGAAGTGAGTCCAAATTCCTTCATCGCTAGGCAAATTATATGAGCCTTAACAACGAGAAGAAAGAATTCCTCACAAGCCGTGGGGTCCGATTTGATGTTTAGAGTTACGGTACGTCTCCTAATGAGATTTCGAAGCTGATACAGAGTTGAACTGTTTGATCTGGAACAAGTCTTGTATAGTATTTTCCAAATTGCCTAGGAAATACATAAATAAAATCCTAGTCTGATAAAATTTATAAAATTGATGCATAAAACAATAGCATTCACAAGTACATGTATGTCTTACCTTCAATAAACAAACTTTAGCATGCCAATCTTCCACAACTGGCACAAGTCCTTCTAAACTATCTAATTCTCTCCACTCATTGTCATGGTGCTCCTATATGTCAGTTGCTCTCTCAGCAGTCAGTTGATCGCCCCCAAATAATAAATAATGAAACCTGTCAATAAATATATCAAGTTCTTCATCTGTGACAGGATCAGATACTTTCTCAGTGGTCGATTGAACAGGAACATATTGATGTAGATGAATGAGTACACTCTTCATGTCTTCATTCTTGTTCTCATTCTTATCTAACACTCCCAAGGGGATCTATATATGTACATGAAACGTGCAAATAGTGACTACAATAAAGATACAATAGATACTAACCACAGTAGACTTTTGTGCCATATCCATTGAAAATGCATGTGGGATGTGGTGTGGTGGTCTGACATTTTCCTGAAAGAAGGTGAAATTCTTTCTTAACACACGCACCACAAGAATAGTCACATTCTCTCTTAATCTATTGCAGTCATCGTCACTTGGTAGTATGGTGCTAACATCACAATCTTATGGATTGCATAAAGATGGATCATCGTTGAAAGATGACATGTCACACCTGTCCAGTACTGCATAGAAGTGAAAGTAATGAAGTCACTGCAAATAGTTTTGGCTTGTTTCTTTACGTGGTCTGATTGATTTGTCCACATTATCACCAACAATCTTAAATGTAGGATATATTTGAGAAGTAGATGATGTAGTGTTACCATTGTCGTCATAATCAGAAGTATCACATTCTGGCAACTCAGATGAAACAGTAGTTGATGCAGGTGATAAAACTGGAGGTGATAACATGTATATCACTTATGTCATCTGTAAATGTAGCTTGACTAACTTATGTATCACATGATGAATTATGGACACTTTGTAATGGCTGTTGGTCAGCTGCACCATCCATAACAATAATAGTTTCTGGGGAAGGGATAGACGAAACAACGACGCAATTGGTCCTTAAAAGTGGCTGATTGTTAGCTACAGTAGCAGTATGTGATGACTGATATTGATTGTCCTTAAAAAAAGAATTAAAAATAATAATACGAACAATAAACAGTTGCAATACCTTAAATGTCCTCTCAGTTAGCAATCTACACCATTCCTTCACCTCTTCATCATGACTCTCTCCCATTTTATGAACTAGTCTAATAGTTCTAGGTGAGACAAACACAGACCAGCTTTTTGCAGTCTTGTAAATAACTATGAATAAAATAATGATTTAAATTATGCCCAAAATATTGACTTAAATGCAACAAACCTGTTTAGGTGAATGACAGCAATAAAAGAGAAGAGAAATAACACGCTGAAGAAAACAGGCTCTTTCACTATATGCCTGAAGAAACAATCCAGCAATTATAACTAACTTAATTTCATTGTTAGGTTTCGAGTCTAGCACAGTAGCATTTTTTAACATTAACATTAAAATAGGAGCAGTTCTCTTTAGATCAACTAACAAACCGTTCCAGCTAAAGTTCTCTAAAGCAGTAAGACTTTTATCTTTGAATGCAGATTGCTTTTTTGCTAAACACGTCTGTTTCAATTCTCTCTGAATCAATTTGCCAGTCCTGATTGACAATAACTTGTGCATTGGCCTGTCTTTCAATACATGACATACTATCGAGCTCCTGCCCACTGATTGATCTACGCTCTTCAATGATCTTGAAACAGGATTAATACAGCTTTTCCATCTGGTTTTTGCTCACAAACTAAATAATAATAATAATAATAATAATAATAATATAATACACTGAATAAATCTCATTATAATAGTGTCAAAATTACTTACAAAGTCAATAGGACTTCCTGATGACGATGCAACAGGTTGAGCAAGAGCTTCTTTTACTGGTGTATTATACACAAGTCTTCTTCTACGACCATGTTTCCTAAGAGAGCAACCTTGTGTGCAGTCTTGACTACTATTGCATGTTTTTTTGGGAGAGACATCAGCTGTTGCTGTTACACTGGCAAGCCTCCATTGATAAACAGACCTAATTCTACTTATAACACTTATTTTCAGTTCCTCTGTCTCTCTTTTTAACTTAGTCAGCTTCTTCAGAGCAGTGTGACAGCCTGACTTACAAATTGTAGCTTCACTTAAAAAAGAACTAAAAGCATTTCCATCTTCATATGAGTCTAGCATATTGTCCTTAATTGTACTTGATAACTCATCCTCTTTCTTCAAAGAAACTCTGTTCCTTGGAAGAGTCTCATTGCCATATAAAATACATTCCTATCTGGACGCCACATTTCGGTGCTGTATATCACCTAGAAAATCTCCTTTTGCATTCATCGTAAATTCCTTTGGGTACAAATGGCCTTGACGTAGTGTGCCAGCTCTTCTTGTCATACCCATACGTCTATAAATAGACTGTACCCAGCTTTTTGGCATTTCAAATCTTGCAAAATGTTGTAACAGAGAAGGGTTGCTTGTGCAGTTGCTCGAACTACATGTACATTCACAACTCCTCCCTCATTCTAACTGCTTCGAGAAATTGAATCAGTTTCTCATCCAACTCTAACATGATTGGCTGTTTGCCTTTGTCTTTGTTAGAAATTGTTGTAATTGGTTGAGGATTGACTTTCTTTTTCTCTGTAGCCAATTTTTTCTGATATCTTTTCTTGAAATTGCTGACTGTACCTTTCGGTCAAGTTTGGGTATATTTTGCAGAATTTTTTTCTTGTCTTTTCATTTCCATGATCATTGGCATACTTTCCAATTTTAGCCCTGTCATCATTGGTATAACGTGTGTATGTTCACTTTGTTTTTCTCTTTTTAAAGCAGGCTCTGGACTAGCTAGGTCTGACACAAACAAAGTAACAGTTGAATGTTCTTCTATCCCAAGTCCACATTCAGACGCCTGTGGTAGATAGTCTGGAACTGAATGAGAGGCCCCTGGAGATTCTTCAGGGTGTCTGCTAGTAGCAAAGCCAAATTGAAACAGTGACATTGCTAGGTGCAGTACTCTCACTCACATGCACATAACTTAATTTTCTTAATATTTTTTAAAATTATAACTATGGATGTTGCTGCTGCTGCTACAGAACTTTGTTTTCGTTTCTTGTGTGGCCTTAGAGGTTACCACGTATATAAAAGGGATTGGATACCTATCTTAAACGAAGTTCTTAAGGCAGAGCATGAGGAGAATAATTTGTATGACCGCTATGCTATTGCGGATAAGAAGAAGCTGCCTGGACAAGCTCAAGAATCGATTGTTGGGCACTTGCCTAAAGAAGTATCAAGGCTAACTAGATTTATCATACTTCATGGAGCAACAGTGACAGCCAAAGTAACTGATGTTAACCACAGAAAATCTCTAATACAATGTTGTCTTGAGATTCCGTTGAGGTGACCGTAAAAATGGTCCACAACGAGACTAATGAGG